ATTGCTGTTACTCAGTATCTTTGTTTCCTCAAATTCAGGGTCCTGGATTGTGCCAAATCTCCTGCCAGCTAGTTTCTGTGGATTCAGTATTTATGGACCTAATGACACAATAAAGACACTGGTACCTTCCCTATCCCTTAGAATCCCTAAAGGGAAATGTCTTGTTCTTTATAATCACTACATATTTCAGGGCAGTTCTTATAAGACACAGAACAAATTTAACAATAGAAATGACATAATTTAGACAGTTGTTCTATCACCCAATGACTCCTTCCTACCCAGGCAGGGGAATTGGGAAAAGGAAAGGAGACCCATAGGTTAAAATATAAACAGTTTTAATACAATAATAAAGAATATTAATCACAATAATACCCCACATTAATAGCAATATCATTATAAAGTGCACAGAGTTATACTCAGCCAATATAGTGGTCACAAGCTGCGATGGTCATAACAAGCTGGGGAGCAGTCCTCAGAATAGAACAGGCGGCAATACCATAGCCATCAAGGAAAGAGAACTGTCCCTCGCAAACTTCCCAATTTCTAGTGGGGAGTGAGAAGTGGGGAGTGGGTGTTTTTGGTATGAAGTACTTCTGTTGGCCAGCTTGGAGTCAGCTGCCCTGGTTTTCACTTCCTCCAGCTTCTGCACCTGACAAACTCAAAACTGCTAAAAGGCTTGATCACTATGGCAACCTGTATACTAGGGCAGGCCACAAACTAAAATGCAGTGTCTTATCAACTTTATACTCACCAAATCAAATATTGTAGTCTTCTCAAAAATGTAGTTTTCCTGAATAGAAAACTGGACAAGAATTTATAGCTTATTTTATAGTTCTTCTAATCCTAATGATTTATCTAGATTTGAGTAAATTTACCTAATTTTACTTAAAATTATGTTACTGAATGATTTTCTTTCAGTTGCTTTGAAGATAATTTATCAACACAAGTAGCTGAGTAGGAAGAAAAGCTCAAATAGACTTGAGGTATAGTATTTCTAGAATTTAGTTTAAGATGTTTTGCTTTATTTTAATTATTATGCCTTCTGATTATTTAATGAAAAATTAATGCACTGGATTGAATCTGTAATATATTTATCAATCAATTCCTAAGATACTCTGTTTGAACTGTTTCTGCATATATCTACCCAACAAGTTAGACCTTTCTACTAGCGGTGCCATTATTCAAGAATGTCAAAGCAAAATTTGAGTGACCACACAAAGATATCTTATTGAATTTTACTGTTTGTATAGTACTGCATTCAGATCAATTATGTTTAATTACAATTGGGTCTCAGGAACACTCAGCTTTAATTATGAGCTTGATCATCAGTTAGCTTGACTGGTGCTGCATAAACCTTAAACGAAGAGAGCACCATTACTTCTCAACTGCCTTCTCTCAGCTAATCAGTTACTAATCTTATACAGACAGTGAAATAATTTACTTGCTTTCATTTTTATTCCTGTAAATCTCATTTCAGCAGTGAGTGGATAGGGGAATTTTTTTCATCTAGACTAGTAAGGTAAATGCATTTTAGAAGAGACCTTCTTTGTTGCAGAATCTAATTTCCATTTTGCGAAGGTAGACCTCAGTACTGTAAATACACATGCATAAAAGATCTGTATAGTCCCACTGAACTCAGGTAGTGGCATCAGAATTTTAAAGCTATCCAGATAATTCTAATACTGTAAACTTTTATGACTGGCAATTCTAGGATCCTAGATATAAAAAATAACACTCTGACCTTGAGGCTTTGAAATTTTCATTATCTAACCTCCCTACTCTTCTGCTACTTGCTGTGTGCTTAGCCCCCCACTCCCCATCATGGCTCTAAGCAATTTGGTGCCTTATCCATATAGTATCATAATTCTCTACTTTATTGCTGAGACTGAACTTTAAGGTAATTTTAAAATCTGCCATGGTGTCTTCTCATGCTGCTAGGAGCCCAGCTACTTCAATATAGGATGCTAATTACATTTATCAACAGAGCTCCCAAAATTAGGGTGCTCATTAGGCTCATTGCATATATAGCACCATACACCTCAACTGCAATAGTATATATACTACAGTATGGTAAGGGCTGACTGTTTTAAAGGCCTTTTTCCACTTACGCACAGTGTACACAATACCATGAGCATTCTGAATGTTAAACACTGTCCTATTCAGCAGATCTTCTTCATAAAATTAATTTAAAAACCCCAAAAATATTATCCTTCTTTTGAGATATTAAGGATATTCAATTAGCTATATTAGTGGTGTACCTCTTGAGAAACTTCTAACATAGAACAATGTGAGTCTTAGCCTCTCTGTGCATATAATATCCTGGGATGGGCCTGCAGATTGTTCTTGCAAATTCTGATTCTGCTTTTTTTCTGCAAGTGACTATTTTCTTCTGTAGTCTTTCTTTATTTTCTCCATGCCAAGAAGAAAGAACAATGTAGTAGGTCAAAATAAGAAAGAGATCATCAGTTTATTTGGAACTGTACCAGAAGATGAAATATTTACAGCTGGAAAATCAAGAATACCTGTCCTTGTTAACACTGCTCACTGAAGAAAATTTAGAGACAAATTTGTGTGATCAAACAGTTCAATTTACTTAAATAATTTTATGTTTTCTCACTTTCCCAGTTAAAGACTACTACAAGATTTTAGATTTCCCAAATTAAACAGGCACATTTGATTGGGCCATGTATTTCACATTTAATAAAGGGTCATGAATTTAATAGAGATTTAATTTACACTTATTTAATTTAACATGCCTAGTGGAAATATGCTATATATTACACTATTTTAAATTTATTTGTTATAACATAAACTTACATCTCCATTAAGATCCTCTATATTTTAAGACACATTTACTTTATAATGATGACCTTGACTTACAAAACTGAAGTTACAGTACTGAATGCTAAAGCTATGTTTGGGCATGTAAAACATAAACATGATAAAAATTAATTACTACATCAGCAGTTTGCATGCACTGCAATTATTTTTAGTAGATTGCACTATAGAAGAATTTGGAGGCCGGGTCGATAATAATTAAAAGCATGCATTAGAGATTAATGAATCTGATTTAATGAAATACATTTTGACACAGCAGTTGTTTCTTGTCAGTTCAATGAGTTTTACTCAGGGGATATCACTTCTGGTCGTGATCTACACGCTTCATATGGTAATCTGCTTAACACACAACTACTTTTTGCCTGAATTCATGCAAAGTTTGATAAGAGCTATATTTCTGATTTTTCATAGTTTACGGAATTTTATAGTGAATTTTAAGACTGTGCTTATAGAATGTCAGGCATTCATTAAGACAGAAAAATAAGTGTTTCTCTGCACAGTTAATATATGCTTGTAATGACTTGAGTAATGCCTGATCTTATTTAAATACTTATTTAAAAGGATATGGTCTCATTTTTAGCATATTCATCCAACCCCAACAAAATGCTGAAGTAAACTAACAGTCAGAGTGAGTACCTGTGAATAACTTGTATAAAGGTGTTCACAAAAAGAAACATCAAGAATCTAGAAGCAAGGAGAGGTGTTGAAAACAGTTCTAAATTTATAAACACCAATTCTTACTTTATAGGTGCATAGATCAGAAAGGATGATGCATTTCTCAGATTTGAGGTCAGCATATCAGGACATTATGACTGAATAGCATTCATAGTTATTCAAAGAGTAATGCAGTCATTGAATATATCAGGAGAAAGATTTATGCCCACACACCAAAGAGGTTGTTATCACTGGAACTCAAAATTTCAGTATTTGCAGGCAGGCAGTTACTTTTAGAAGTTCTGAACAGTGTATTTTGAACAGTAATTTGTTACTGAAAGGTTAAAAGATATTTCCAGCTATCAGTAGGTTATTCTCAACAGCCCATTAGCATTGGACTAAAGCAGAAATGAAATATTGCAAAGAAGCAAAATAGATGAATGAAAGCTATATAATTTAGATGAAAAAACTACTCCCTTTTCCTTCTGATTCAAGCTGTTATATGTGACTCCTTGTGTGTACCCTTGTCATTTAAACTATTACAATAGAAGTTATCTAAGTTTAGGTTTCAATCTTATTTTGTCCAAATCTATTAGATTCTGAGAAAGTCTTAAAGAAACTTGAATTAGAATAGGAAGGTTTTGTTGTTTTTGTTGTCATAACCAGATAAAATTTATTCAGAAAAAAAAATTAGAATAGAATGCCAGGGACATACTAGAAAGTTAATGCACCACATATTCAGAGGAAGTGCAGCTCTTTTCCCCAGTGATATCCCTTTCAAATACTTAGCTGAGAGGGGGAAATAGAAGGAAAACGTACTTGCCCTTTATGAAGTCTGGCCCTTATTTGTAATTCTACTATGTCTTTTGCTGTTTTATTTAATTTTATACACATATGCATGAGGTATAGAAAAGTTCAGGAATCTGAATATTAAAACTGAATGCATTTTAATATAATGATAAATCACAGTCAGCTAATATGAGAAGATTACAATCAATTTCTTTCAGTTCAACTAATATCTCACTCCTGCAGAAATTTTCAGTCATTGTTTTCTCTGAAGAATTTACACCTAACAATTCAAATTGGCATAAATCCATAAACAAACCATTTCACCTCCAATAAAAGGGAA